ACACCGTCCACACTAAGCTGTTACTTTTTAATAGACATGACGTATGGGGATTCAACTGCTTATTGAACATTTATTCTGCGTCAGGCATTGTAGTGTCACTTACCTGTGGCATGCTCCTAATGACTCTGAGCTATGAATCCTATTTTGTACATAAAGAAATAGGTACAGCCAGGTGTGGTGGTGGCGGCGGCGCACGCCTGTAATTCAGCACTCAGAGAGGCAGAGGCAGGTTCTCTGTGAGTTGAAGGCCAGTTTGGTCTATATAACTAGTTGCAGGGAAGCCAAGGCTACACAGTGAGAAAGTATCACAATGAAAAAAATAGCAGAAAAGGAAAAGGAAGGAGGGAGGGAGGGAGGGAGGGAGGGAGGGAGGGAGGGAGGGAGGGAATGAAAGGGAGGCATAAAGCAGCGAAATAGCTGACTTGGGGCTCCACAGCTAGAATAACTGAGCTGCAGCTGGATCCTAGGTGTGTCTCTGTGTAGTCACAGAGCACTTTTCATGTGAATTTGCTAAGTTGGGGAAGACAGCACACTTGGAAAGATGAAGGTGACAGCTTTTTCAAGGAGGTGATTTTCCGTGAGCTGTCCCAAATAGGGTGTGCTTTTATTTCATACATAGATGGTCTCAGGGTGGTCCTACAGACAAGAGAAGAAAAGTGGACAAAAGTATAGATACCTGGAAAGGTGTGTAGATGAAGCATGTGACTAATGGGCACAATGTGCTGGGTTTACAAGAAGATTCCAGAATAGGAAGAACTGGCAGGAAATGCCAAAAGATGCAGATAGACAACCCTATCTGCTACCCTAGCCACCGTTCTTAGGACACTGACTTAAGGGGACATAGTGACAGACACCAAAACAGAAAAAAACAGCCAGACCCACACAGAGAAGCAGCTAGAAACTTCCAGGGCTAAGACTGAGCCAAACGACATAATCCCACAACATACAGTGATGCAAAGACACACACGCATATATACAGACACACAGGCAAACTTCCACACAAGCATCCAGCAAGAACGGTAAGACAGAAAACAACCCATGGGGACAAAGACTGCCAAGAGGACAGGGACAGGCACTTGCAGTCACACACACACACACACACACACACACACACACACACACACACACACACAGAGAGAGAGAGAGAGAGAGAGAGAGAGAGAGAGAGAGAGAGAGAGAGAGAGAGTGCACTGCTACCGAAGAGCACAAGTGACCCATCCCTTTTCTATCTGCTTGATTGCTATGAAAGCCTGGCCACCTCCTCTGGTCTTCCCTGGACCAGAGGCCAGAAAGGGACAGAGGGTGGTAGCTCCACCCCTGGGAGGAGCTGGGGACTTCAGAGGACAGGAAGGGAAGGGAGTGGAGCTGCAGCTGGGAGCACTGGGGACAGTAATTACCCAGTGCTAGGGCTGCCACGTTGGCTAGAATTACCCTCCCAATGAGGACAAAGCCACTGGAGGGATGATCCCTCTGACCCCTGTCTTGACCCCAGGGTTGTCCCCCTAAAACCAATGCATCGACTCTCACACCCACTAGAAGCCTGGTCAAATCTGAGAACTGCATACACAGAGGAATTCTAAGAGGGGAAGGCCTTTTATAGAAAGCTGGACATGGTGGTAAATGGCAGTAATCCTAGCACTTGGGAGACAAGAGGCAGAAGGACCAAGGGTTCAAGGCCAGCCCCACTACATAGTAAGTTTAATGCCAACTTGGACTACAAAAACAAACAAAGAAACCTTAATAAAGAAAGATTCTGTGACAAAGACAAGGAAGCAGAAGGCAGGAAACCTTCAGAAACTCAGACAGATATAAGAGGAAAGACAGAAAATGGGACAAGTCAGAATGGAGATGGACACGGGGTGGTCTGCATGGGGCATGGAAGTCACTGAGGGATACAGGCAAAATGGCAGGCCAGGGCCATCTGTTGAGCACAGCTACAATGGGTCTCTGGGCTTTGCCTATGGAGTCTAATCCTTACAATAGTCCTAAGAGGTGTGAATTACAAGGCATTTTATGGTTAAGAAAACTAAGGCACAGAGAAGCAAGACGACATGAAACTTTCCAAGGTGGCAGGAATGGGTCTGGGAGGGGGCCTCTCCCATCACTGCAAGAGACATGGCTCAAAGATCCCGGAAGGAATTCTCCAGAGAGAGAAGTCCCAGAGACGAGGAAAGTCACCCTAAAAGTCACACACACAGTGAAAGAGACGTCCACCTTCCGGAGCCCCCTCGTGTGCTGCCCTGCAGTGTGAGAGGGGCTGCACCTACACCTGGAATGTATTAGGTAGGGAGGCCCGGACTAGGGGAGCCAGGAAGAGGCTGGAGGGGGAGCAGGGAAGGTGAAGGCAAAGCAAAGAACAGCGTGGGCGGCTGCAGCAGCAGCAGCGCTGGCCTTATGGGCTAGCGGAAGGGCTTCTATGCCAGCTGCAGCTCCCAGGGGCCAGCCCTGCCAGTCCCGCCTTTCCCACTTTCCAGAACAGACTTTGGCTCAGCGACTTAACCCTTTCCCTTTCAGGCCAGTGTGAAGCATAACACAGGAAGTGGGGCAGACAACTGAAAGGGAAAAGGCAGGATAGCCCACTGTGCTCTGGCAGCTCTGGTCACACACCTGTGACCTCACCATCCTGTCCTTACTTTGGGGCCCAGGAAGATACAGCTGGTGCCTATTGTGCGCTGTGTTCTACATGTCTTACGCTGGGCCTTCTAAGACTCTGTGTATCCTAAAACTAACAAACATCCCTACCCCAGCCAACAGTTAGCCACTCCAGGAACAGCGAGCACCTCTACTGACCCAGGCTGCCCAAGTCACAGGCTGACACTCCTCTCCACCTTATCTCACACAACCAAGCAACTCCCAAGTCCTGCAGACAGGATCCTTTAGCAGCTCTCGAATCCGTACAATGTTCGCTTCCAGTCTCTAACTGACCCCCTCCATCCTCAGGGCCCTCTCCAAGGCACTCTCCATAGTCCAGCCAGGCTTATTCTAGCCTTGGGGTGAACTCTCAACTCCAGAGGATAGGAACAAGAAAGCCCTAAGCTCATGAACACTGCCCCACACCCATCCTGGAGCCACAATGGCCTCTTGTCTATTCCTCGAAAGTGCTTTCTTCCGCCTGGGGCTTTGGCATATGTCGTTCCTGCAGCCTGAACTCCTTTTCCACATCTCACCTCTGGACATCTATCTATTTACCCTTCAGGTTTGAACATTAATGTCTGCCTGCCTCCTCTCCACGTGCCCCTGCAACATCTGTGCTGGCAATGACTTGCAGTGTATCTGTCCTGCTAGCAATGAGCGCCACGAGGATAGCCATATCTCAGCACGTATCACAAAACTGAGCACACTGGAGGCAAGCAATAGACCTATTAAGGAAACAGTGTATTTATGCTTGTCATATTATATCCCAGACAAATGGGATAAGCGGTACTAGAAACGGGGAAACTCAAGCTCTGACATGGCAAGTGAGGCCTGGGAGCACGAGGAACCAGTGGCGGATCCAGGAGTGCTGAGGCTCCTTCAATGGATGCCCTATAACCTTGACTCCAAGTGTTCTGGAGGTTAACATGCCTTCCAGGTTCAAGGAACTGGACACTAGAGCCCTGAAGGGCTGGATTTGTGGCTCCAAGGGTGTCTGTTCTCTCTGCATTAAGGAACTTAAATCCAAGTGGCTAGCCAATGACAGGCTATACTTCCTGCCCTCATTCCAGACAGGTCCTAGCCCCACCCAGCCAGTGTCTGGCCAGCACCACATCTGCCTAAGGCATTTAGCTAACTGGCTGCAGAAAGCCACTGCTTATGTCTGTGTAGGGTACTGTTAGCTGTCACTCATGCTTGAGGGAGGAGGGAGCCCTAGCTGGGCCCTCCTTGGATAGGACAGCTGAAAGGGCTGAAGAGTGGGGTGCCATGTAGCTACATTTGAAACTTTCAATTCCTTTAATATGGGCAAAGCCCCTTTGCCCACCCACCCAGTCTTGACATCTTGTTTTCTGACTAAAAAGCTCCAGCTGACTAGGAACCAAATCTCAAATGTTTCCCAAACCTACCGGGCTCTCCAAAAATCCTGTAAACCTCACTACCTAGCTCACCACTGTTCCTGGCCTGAGACCCCCCTGTTTTCCTCCAGGAAAAAACAAATCTTCTGAGGCCTCTCAGATGCCCTCACCATGGAAAACAAGGAAGGAGCCACACAAATATTTTTTTGGTAATGTTTGATTTGCCTTTTAGGAGTTCTTTACAAAAGCCAGCTATCCTCAATGTGCGTGAAATAGGCCTCAGCTCCACGCAAACGCTTTTAAAACTGTCACACACAGAGACTTATCAGAATGTGGCTTACTGACTTTAGCACATGTCTTCAAGCAACAAATCCTTAGAACCACACATACCCTGCATAAGAGCCACCTTGTGGTCTATGGTATATGTTGGTGGTGAATACTACTAAACATCTCTCACATAGAAATCCTTCTGGAAATTTATAATCATAAACCCAAATGTCTGCTGACCATCACTGCCTTGATATCCTCCTAGGCCTCAAACTCAGCGAGTCTCAAACACAACTCATCACACAATTCATCATTTTCCCCTAAACCGGCTCCTTGTCTTGTGTAGACGGATGGCTCCATTATCGTCCACCAGGTCACTATAACTGGTTTCAGAAACCTCTCCGAAACCATCCAGGATTTTTCCCTCCTTCCTTGGCCTCTAGAGCCATTCATTACCAAGGCTTGTCCATGTTAGCACTTAAATGTTCTTCCAAGCCACCTGCTACAACTTTAACCTAAGCTGCCATTACCTTTCACAAAACACCCGCAAGTTCGACCCCTCCATGCACATCCACTTTTGTTGGTGGTGTTTGTTTTGGGGGTGGATTTTTTTTTTTTTTTGGTTTTTGGAGGCAGGGTTTCTCTGTATAGCCCTGGATGTCCTGGAACTGGCTGTGTAGACCAGGTTGGCCTCAAACTCACAGTCCCAGAGTTCTGGGACTAAAAGCATGTGCCACCACTGCCTGGCTTAATTAACGCTTCACGAATTTGCCTTTCATCCTTGCGCAGGGGCCATGCAAATCTTCTCTGTATCGTTCCAATTTCAGTATGTGCACTGCCGAAGCGAGTACACACTCCTTCTCTTTAGCCCTTTCGGTCCACTTTCCATGAAAGCTTTGAAACACTAGCAGCGGAGCACATCACTTCCCTGGGAATACGCCCTTGCTGGATCCTGCTTGCCCTCAGGACAGTCCCTCGACTAGCCTTATTCCTCCGCTCTTTCCCAGTACCCGTTCGTTCCCTAATCGGTGTCTGTTTGCGTGCCTTTGCTGAGACCAGACAGAACTGACCCCCATGTTTTCTAGGTCTACGAGCCTTAGTAGACATACTTCTAGGTCCCTTCCCTTGGGACAGGATTGGGCCTTGAACTGGGTACTGCTAATACCACATTTCCTATGCCTAGAGTTCCAGAATTGTTAACTGTCTTCCAACGTAAAATAGTCCAACGACAGTCATCACAAAAGCAGGGGAGAAAGGTAAGCTGAGTGTGTGCATCGGGGCAAGGAATTAACTCACTTTCTTACAACCCATGCTTCAGTTCTGGGCTTGGAGTGAGCTGAAGGACATTCACATATGACTCTGGGAAGAAGACTTCAGAGACAGCTCTCACTCACTATAGCACCATGGCTGAATCACCACCTCTCTGGGTCTCCACTGACTCAACTGCAAAAATGAGCAGGCTTCCACCCTAGGCTATGTGCTGAAATCATCTGGGAATCTTTTGTTACTGTTGTCGAGACAGAATCTCACTATGCAGTCCTGGCTGGCCTGGAACCTAGAGCTCTTCCTGCCTCTGCCTGGGATTAAAGGTGTGCACCACTACACCTGCCCCTTGTCTTGGAATCTTGTTTGAAGCCAGATTCCTGAGCTCTAACTCCAAGACCCTGGAGCTCTGAGTTGGAGTCTGAGAAGGACATTTATTCTTCAAGGTCGATGAAGTATTCTAATGCTTACTGAGGGCAGGAAACTCAGAACCATCCAGTGTCTAGGAACTTTTGCAGCACTTAATTCTTTGAGTCTCTAAAGATGTAACCAAATAAGAACAAACCAGCCCCTTCTGCTACTTTCATTGGCTGTTCTCTCACTCCCCACAAAACAACTGATCCCAGTACCAGGAGGCAGAGGCAGGCAGATCTCTGTAAGTTCAAAACCAGCCTGGTCTACAGAGTGAGTTCCAGGACAGCCAGGACTGTCACACAGAGAAACCAGACCTTGTCTTGAAAAACCAAACCAAATAAAACCAAAACAAACAAATAAATAAAAAATAGCTCTAACATCAAGTCCAACTCGACTGGCTGGGTCAGGCCCCCAGCTTTCTCCAACCCCCAGCACGTGGAAAGACATTCTAGGCCTCAGCCTTGAGGATTACAATAAGACTCCCAAATTCCTGTACATATAAACCTCTACTCGAAAGCCCTCCACTAACCCTCCCTATGCCATCTCCAGTATCTCACTGGGTTATCCCAGTGACCCAAGGAAGCCTTGGGCTTTATCAGTCTAGAAAAGTAGCATAACACTCTCCACCAGGAACTAGACAGAATAACAAAAAGAAAGGCCCGGAGGTAATTCAGAGCTCTTCACATGGATAAGACATAATTATTATTTTCACACCACCCACCCCCTGCTGCTCTGGGATATGCCACTGGGACCAAAGGCTGGTGATTCAATAAAAGCCTCCGGAGTCTGAAGGAGGAAGTCAGCAGGCACATGAACATCTTAACATGTGGACTAAAATGTCTCGAATCCTGTAACTGAAGTTCAGGTCTCTGTCTCTCCGTGTCTCTCTCTCTCCCTCCTTCCTGCTCTCTCTCTTATACACAAACACTGCAACCACCAATCATGCCCATTCTGAGCCAATTCTAGGCAAGTCCTGTGGAAAGAGAAGCAAGTCACTTGTGCCTAGCCCTGGGCTGGCTGTGCAGAGGGGGAGGCGGGCCTCTCACAACACATGCTACTGTGAATCACAGGGCCCAGTGCCCGCCTTGTCAGGACTTGAGAAATTCCTCCGCCTCTTCTTCAGAAGGGTTTTCTCTCTTCAGACTTTATTAAGTCCTCAGTGGCTGAGGGCTTTGCAAACAAGAATCTTACAGATTCCTAGATATCATTCCCTAGATGAGGGCAACTAAGGTACCAAGAACTGGAAGGGCCATTCATTCAGGTCACACAGTAAGTAAGGAATGGCTAGATGGGAGACTGTCTCTCCCTGACATCCTTTTCATTCCTAATCTTCCTTTATATTAAAATAAAAGACTCCCACTGGACAGTGCTGGCACATGCCTTTGATTTCTAGTGCTTATGAGGCAGAGGCAGGCAGATCTCTATGAGTTCAAGACCAGCCTGGTCTACAGAGCTAGTTACAGGACAGCCAGGACTACACTGAGAAACTCTGTTTCCAAAAAGTGTAAAAAAGTTATTCATCATGTCATTATAGAGGCAAGGACTTAACTAAGGAAAAGGACCCTGAAAACACTATTAATTTGGGGAGAAGAGAAAGGTTTGGGAAAGGTACTGTGCTTTGAAGTTTGGAAGAACTGGCGGAGTGGAAAAGCAAGCTCGTATCAGCCCCATGTTGACTAGAGAGGGCAGAGACCAAGGGTCAAGACCTTCCTAGCTACTGACTCCCAGACAAAGAGTATCTGCTAGGTGCTTAGGCAATAGTCACAGAGGGCCTACTGTGTGTTCCCTTACCATCTATTCAGACATTTGTTGAACAAGGGTTTACTGAGTACCTGCCTTGTTCTAGGCACTACACTAGTTCCTTGGGTATACAATAATGAACAAAACAGACGCAAACTCCTTGCCCTCAAGGAGCGCACATTCTGGCATAAGGGCAGACGCATACACGAGGGTACTTTCAGACAGACACACACTGGCAGCTGTGATGGAGATTCACAAGAGGCCCTACTTAAAAGTGGTCAGGGAAGGTCTCTCAGAGGGGACATTTGAGCTGAGACCAGAAAGATGAGGAGCAAGCCAGGTGGAGGGCTGAGGGAGAGGGAAGGGCCAGGAGGCAGAAGGCAAAGCAAATGCAAAGGCTCTGCAGTGGGAGAGTTGTGGGTGTATGGGGATGTGCAGGGAGGAGCTAAAATAAAATAAGTATGTCTGATTAGCCCCCTCTCCACAGCACGTGTCCAGGGGAGTTTGGAAAGCCAGCAGAAGCAACAAGCAGGGCAGGGCATTAAAAAGTTGTCAGCTGGCTATCTCCAGTTCACGAGGGGGAGGGGGTGCCTAAAATCTCCCAGAGGTTCCATAACTATCCAAAGAACAGATAGCAGTGAGAGGCGCATCCTGCCCGTGTTTTATGCTTCACTAACTATTCCTGTTACCTGGTACTGAGCCATAGTATTAGTGACCTGTGGAAGCTCAGATAGGAGCTCTGGAAGCAGTGAGATGCTCGCTCACCACCTCCTTCACCAATGAAGATAGGGCAGATATCCACTGGTTTCCCTTCAAGGCTCCTAGACTAAGGTCCACGTGAGAATATCCTAGAGGCTCTGCTTAGGCTGCTCAGATATTCAGGCTATGAAAAGGCCCATCCAGGTCTATGGCCCATCTGACCTAGAGTTGTTCCACCACTGCAAAGCCAAGCAACAACCATCCTGATTATCTTTCCAAACAATCTGCTGGCCCCGCAGCTCTCCCTTCTGACCTTTCTGCTCTCTTCCTACCTACCAGCCCCTTGAGCCCTTTCCTCCAGGCTCGTCCCCACCTTTCTCTCTCATCAGTACCTCCTACTTCTCCCTCCCCTTGTATTTTGGCCACAAACACCTAGCAGAAGCACAATCCAGGCTCAGTCCACCATCTCCCTCTCTCTTTTTCTCACACTTCAGGGCTACTGAATAGTATAGGGGGAAATCACATAAGCAGAAAGCTTAGCATTTATCTCCAGCTTTGGTTTGGGGAAGCAGAAAGACCACAGATTTTGGACTCTGCTCCATAATGACAGTGTGACCTTGGACAAGTTACTGCTCAGAGCCTCAGTCTGCACCCCTCAAAATGTGGTTGATGATATCCACTTGAGATGGCTCCTGAAGCTGAAACAAGAACGCTTGTAAAAGTACCCAGTTCAGTGCCATGCACGAATGTAGGCACTTAGCTAATGGGAGCCTTCTTTTCTCCTATTCCCCCAACCACATCCCCACTGCTGCCTTGAAATCCTGCCCCCTTTTCTTGGGAGGGCTTCCTCTCCTGTTAGCCTCAGCAGTTAGAAGAGAAAGGACTCTTAAGGACTGAGGGCGCAAGGGACAGAGATGAGCAAACGCTGAAAGAACTGGACGGAAGGCTGCGGGAGGGAGGACGAATAGGTTTTGAGGGGACCCATGGGGTTAGGGTGAGCATGTCGGCCCCAAGTCCTAGAACAAGAACCGTTCCCAGTACCAGGCCCGTGGCCCAGGTTCCCATGCCGTCTGGATCACTCACCAGGCCGAGGCTGCGAGCCCTCCAGGTGGTAGGAGAAGCGCAGGGCCCGGTGGTGCTGTGGGCTAGGGCCGCAGGGCAAGACCCTGGAGCTTGGAGGAGCTCCCAGGCTGGCGTCCGAGGGTCCGACAAACTGAGGATCCAAAGGGCCTCCAAGAGCCGAGCCTGAGCCCCTGCGTACCGGCAGTCCGGGTTCCAGGGCTCCAGGGTCCGAGTCGGCACAGGCCAGTGGAGCGGCGCCAGGGGTATTCGCCGCCAAGCGTTCGGGATCCGAAGGCCCAGGGCCCCCCGGGACTCGGTGGCCATGCATGGTCCGGGCCTGGGCGCGGGGCCCGGGCTCCCCGCTTGGCTCCAGTTCCTGGGGCGGAGGCGCGGGCGGAGAAGGCCCGGCGCCCGGCGGAGCAGCGGCCTCAGGCTCGGGGGGCGGGGCTGCGGGCTCAGCCCCACTGCGGAGACTCGAGCCCCCGACCCGGGCTCCGGCCAGCAGCCGTGGCGGCAGCAGCAGTAGCCGCGGCCAGCGCCGTTGCCGCGCCAGGCATCGCCGGCCCTGGCCCCAAGCGGGGACTGGGCTCGGCGGGGCCGGGGGCCCGCTGGGGAGCGCTGTCTATGAGGCTGCGGCTGGGCGAGGGTCGGGGGGCTGCGCTATGCGCGGGCT